ATTGATAACTGGGAAGTTTTTTCGTAGATATTTCCATTGGTACTGATGAAAGTTGAAACCATGCTGAAATTAGTTGGAAGAATTGCTTTTATAACTCGTTTGTTAACCAAGTTCTCCACATGAAATCCGGTTAAAATTATATCATTCCCCACATGCAGTACTTGGTGTTAATGCTGTAATGTAACCAAAAAATTGGCTGAATGAAGAGAAAGCAATGAGCACTAACGAGGAAACTATTCACGAGATTGCTGAAAACACTTCGACAGCCCATGACCGGTTTCGCCCTTCCTGGGATTCATCAGGTAGACGCAGTCTTTGAGTTTCCATCAACCCTGTGTTCTACCTGAACCGTTTTTTTTTCGTTAAACGAAGTGTTTACAATATACATATTGGGAAAGGGGAACTTATCGTATTCTGGACACAAGTTGGTAGCTTCTGCTGTTTGTCCGGAAGCAGGCTTTGTGTTTCTTTCGGCGTTGTAGCAGCTAACGTATTCCCCGATTGCCCGTGGATTGCGTGCCATAATTCCTGAGCGGCCAGACGTCGAGGGGGGACGTGCGTAGTGTTGCCGTTTTGTGTGCTGTGTTCGGTACTCTTATATGTAGGTACGTTTCCGGTGTGTGTGCACATAGGCTGTTTTTTGTCACCCCAACTATACTACTTGCAACGGATACGAAGGGCTTTCTTGGGTTCGAATTTCGACAACAATTAGCCTTTCTCATCGGCAAACGAAATCTCAAGCGAGGGTAGTGGTCACTGTGCAGGACAACCGATAAGCCTTATTGGCAATCGAGGTATTCATGAAGTTGTCCCCGAACCCGTACCAGAGCTGGGTGCTGTCTATTCCACTGTGACACCGGAATCGTGTTTCAATCTTATTAGAGCTTGATAACAATATTTTTACCCAACTCCTCTGAAACGTGGGGGGGACTTGACCATCGGTAACTTGTTCACGCGTACAACTGTTTTACTTGCCTAATCCGTGCATCTGGTTGCGGCGTACTAGCTGCCCAAGCGGCGGACTACCGCGCTGCCATTCAAATCGGTAGGCGGAATTCCGTAGTCGGTTATCTGCCCCTGGGTCTCCACACTCACTGATGTCAACTGGTGGTTTCTGGCTGGTGTGTGACCTTAAACAGATTGGTCATGGGAATAGGGCTCATGTGTGCACATGCACACACGCCGGGTGAAGCGTGGTGATGACTCATCCAAACTTAGACGAATGTTTTCCGGTCGATAGAAAAAGTCACAAGGGCAGTTACGCTACGGAGGCGAACAAGTACGTACGCAGTAGTACCACAAAACAGAATGGCGCGGAATGATTGCCCGAACAAGTGTTGTTTCGTGAATTTTTTCAGTGCGAGTGCAGGAGTTATTTGGCCAGAACGAACTGTGTAGATTTTCCTGCGCTCCAGTCAGAAAAATAACTCTGTTTATTTTGTTTATCAGCGGGACAGGCACGTAAGTGCCATTTTTTTTAAATCCCACCAAGCCACACGACCAATGTTCACACTGGCGTGCAAAACGGTCCATGCAAAAAAAGTGAATCCACTTATTTCTCTAGTTTACTGCATCTGGAAGAAACTAGGTGATTCACCTAAGTGGATGTTTTGTATTGTTAATCGGGAGAGGGTCAGACAAGTTTCATTTCAGTAAGACGTTTGAGACTGAAGATATTTTCTTAGGTTTGATTGGAATTATATGGTTCAGCTTTTATGGTCAGGCTGTTTAACAAATATTACCTCTAAAATCACTAGACTATCAAAACCCAGAAAGAACGGTCAGATGTATCGTATTACAGTAATAAAACCGTTACCAGAAGCAACACTAGTTTAACCTTGTTTTTTTAAACCTAATTAACTTATAGCTATTGCAAAAAGGGCATCTTGTCGCCAAAGTAAGCCCCCGATTCCGTAACGGGACCAATCTCTCTCCGTCATCCGTAGAATCTTCCCCTGGGGTCAGATGCCCTGCGTCGAGTCGTTAGCGTTCCAGTCCAGACAACACACAAACAAGCCTGTTCCCGGGTGTTTTACCCAACTCAAGTCTATAGAGCACAACAATTAGCGCGAATGAACTTAGCTGACCGAGGGGGTTTTGTGTGCTAAAATGAACTATATCCGCCTGAAAAAATATGGGCTAAGCTATAGAACATTTCAATTCGGAACGCATGTATACACAGAGCCAGTTCATTCTCAGTGGACTAACGTTTGATGGCAGCCAGACCAGTCTATCCTGTCCAATCAGGCAGTACACCACGTGGGGAAATAAAGGAATGGGTAGGCCAGGCAGCTCAGAGACAACTGCCATCGGAACTCCAAGTGCACAATAAAAACCGAACAAATCTTAGTACAGCCGTGGACGAAGGCGAATCGTTACACTTGTTTTGCCGGGATCTTCCGGTTGCCTTCTCATGGACATCAACACGAATGCTGATACTACACCATCGCACATTGCACATGAAATTCCAATTAGTTGTGACTTCATCCACTGCGCCTGAACGCCGGCTAAATTGTTTGCTCCACCTATGCACTTTTGGTGGGGACATGACTAATATGTGCCCTTATTTATTTACTGTTCGGGCTTTCAAAAATAGCGTGCGCTGGATCTAACATGGCAAATACACACATGCATTCACGGATTAGTACCGCACAGCTAAATGGCGATTACAACGAGCCAGGGACGAATCTCATCCCACTGAATGAGACGTCGGGGGATGGCAATTAGCGAAATACACTCATTTCCAAACTAATTTGGTTTTCCGAGTTTCACCTGGAACCCAGCTGAACTTCTTGTTTGTGATGTTCGGTGGTAAAAAGGATGTGGAGTGGAGAAAATGATCACGCAGAAACGGTAGGGGAAAGGATATAATTTCTGAACTTACTTCATATAGTTGTGAGCAACTGCATGATTTGTCTGGGGAGCACAATAACCTATGAGCCAGCCGAAATAGGGGTTTTCTGGAAGTTTTGTTCTGAGCCTGCACTGTAAATGTCCGACTCAGGTCAGCGAACCGTAAACAATGGAACACGCAAACCATTGGGAATCATTAATCAATGAAGCCTCTGATCACGGACGCCGATGGACCGTACGGTTCGTCTACTCACCAGATGGAGGGCACATCATACGCCATTCGCGTTGCAAGCTGAGGCCGGCGACGGCCTAGACGACGAAGCTGTTCATGCGCTTTCCTGACCCACATCCTCAAATATGTCGTCTTATTCGAACATTGATCACCCCGAACTTGTCACGACAGTCACTAGACTTTTACAGCTGCTTCAACAACGGGCTGACCAGGTTAAAGCCTTCCCAGTTTCGTCACTGGCTGTTCAGGACCAACCCGGTGAAGTCAACAATCTAGGGATGAACTTGAAGGCATATAGCCCTGTGCTGTATCTGTGGGCCGCGTTCGTGCTGTTACCCAGGTCCCAAGCTAATTCACACCAGTAATTATTATGCCACATAGAGCTGCCCTGGGGCAGGTGAGCTGGTTATATTCTTAAGGTGATAGGAATTTTGTTCATGGTAGGTGGGTTCGTCAATGGATTAGCCGAAGCACTTATCCTGACCGACATAGACGGGTAAGTCAGCTGTTCGCCGGTTCAATGAATCAGTGGAGTAAGCGAATCAGCACATCTCAAATCAAAGGTGCCGCTGGCCCTGTCCCAAAGGGATCGTGCATACCAAAGCCTTGGAAGGATTTCTCGGACCTAACTCCTGGGACGGACCGCTCCCCATTGGCCTTCCAGGTATGTTTAAAACTTCGACTGAGTTCTAGCTAGTCTGGCTCATAGAATCGGTGTAGTACTGAAAACTGACCACCATAACAGAGTGAGACAGCTCTAAGTCGGGTTCAGAAAGAACTAAATAAAATACGACTAGCTTGTATGAAACCATCAAGCGTGTAATATTCTCTATTTCTTGGGTTAGGAAAGCTTCTACGATGTGGATCCCGCCAAAAAGAAAGATATTTGTTCGTAACTTTGATAAATTCTATACGGGGCCACCTTATCCCGACAACTCAAAAAAACATTTTGGTTATCCACGTTTCTGTGGCCTTCGCTGTGCACTCTGAACCGCTACGCCCACCTGACACAGAAAATAACTCACTAGTAATTCTCAACATCAACCGCTGACAAAAGTAGCCAATACATTAGCGAATATACACACATTTGCAAACTACTTTGGTTTTTCGACGGATTTTCAGCAACCTTATGAGTAGTACATTAGAAAGATAGCCAATACATTCATTTTCTAAGCGATCATTAATCGATAAACTCTGAGAAACTTGAACAAATGCAGAATGAGAGGCGGGTACCAGAGTTTTCAAAATACAGAAGAGAAATGCACTTGACTGAACCTAACTTTCATGATACGTACTTGTTGGCACATCTGCGTCAGTGCCATGCTTATGCGTAAAGCATTCGACTGTCAACTTGCACTGAGCCTTTATATGGTGCAGCGAGAACTGGGAAAGGGGCACGACAGATAGCCTATCGTGTTAAGCTAACTGGGTTTTGTCCAAGCATTGTTTTTCTGAGAAGTAGTGCCGAGAAACTCCTCTCGAGGGCAATCGCATCCAAGGTAGTCTAAGTCGCTCAAGCTAAACCCAGCAAATCTGAAAGGATCAAGCAGTTCGGTTCAGGCTATTGTTGACCGGGACCTGGCTGGATTCAGTCATTCATTTTGGGCTGAGAGCACACGACTGGCCAGATACCATCAGATGTCCTGCGCAGCCAACTCTTCAAAACCTGGTACTCCGTGAGTGTGCCAAGGTTACTAGTGAGCACAACCGACAGTAAAACCAAGCAGTACCGTTAAGTTAAAAAGTATTACAGTTGTTGGCGAATAATCACCAGGAACAAACTGTTCTAATGAAGCCAGGCAAATTATAGGGTAGCGCGTAGCCACAGACCGCAGAGATATTCAAGCCAAGCTAAAGGAAATCCCACAACACAAGCACATACAGAACGCGAAGCTGTAAGAAACATGTTAGTCTATAGCTACTGTGCAACCGTTGGGAACCACGATCAAGCGCAGATCTGATGTATCACGAGAAAAGTGTATTTCACTGGTAAAGCAGAGAAATGCACATCCAAGATAAAAATACAGTCTGTGAAGATAGGACCCCTAAAATCATCCGGTGGAGACGAAGGGGTAATGATGACTAACGCGTTGAACCAGGCCTGGCGACAGTAAAAAAGGCGTTCGCACCAGATTAACATGAGGGAATCAATGAATTCGGCCGAAATAGAGCGAGGCGGAGAGTGGATTGTAGGAAAAGCAGAGAACAAGCAGATGGGAAGAAACGCCAAAGCCATTTTTCGAGTTCGAATGAGTCGCCACGTCCGAAGATGAAATGGTAGGAAGCGTGTGAAGGGGCGGGCGACCAGTAAGTTGGCTGGTAGGTTGGATTGAATAGATACAAGCAAATCACAAAGGAGTCTTAACAGATGGAAATAGAAAAGGTAGAGAGCGAAATCAGATAGAGAAATGTTACAAGTCAGCATGCCGTAGGCAATCGAGGCAAATACGACGCGCAGCAGCGAGGACAACTTTCATTACTTACACGTGCCTTTGAGAATACTAGTGTTAAAGTGTGGGAAGCACATGTTTTATTGGGTAACCAGATAACGCCGCCGATGGTGTAGGCTGACCGTAGCCAGAGAAGGCAGAGGGGCCCACAGCACTGGGAATCAATAATGGAGACCCACCATGGTTTGCCGCAGCCCCGACGTTGCGCGATGCCATGTGGGGAACAGAGGATTGGGCTTGTCGCTGACTATGAATATGATGTTGTAGACCGACGGTTGACTGTGATTGTGAGGTTGAATAAAAGGATATTGGTACAGTAGCTGCAGACTCAGAAGTAAAACTTGCGTAGCCCAACTAGAAAATAGAAGTTAGGAAAAAGAAATTGACGGGTTCGAGAAATAAACTCATTCGCAAACTAATTTGGTTTTAAAGGAAGACAAATGAATCCCAGCTCAATCTCTCGCTCCTGATATTTGTCATCTCATTAGGTTGCTGAAGGCTGTTCGACAGCCCGGTTTCGCAATTCTTCGGGCTCAAGAGATGAGTACAGTCCCACAAACGTTTCAAGAGGAATTTAGCTAGTCAGTCTGAAGTCAAATCCCAAGAGGTGTTGAACCTTTGATATAAAACTTGGAAAGTGATGCCCACTTCCAGGGAATCTTGAACTGACATCAGCACACCCTTAGATTTATTTTGACATTCCTGTTGGGTCTTGTTGAGAATTCCAATACATGCTGAGCCGTCTTGGCGTGAAAGGATTTTGAAACGTTCTAGTTTCAACTAACTACAATGCCGACTTTGAGAATCCATTTGATTTAGATAGATTGAGTGCAGTTTTGAAAGCGTATTCCCTAGATTGATGCAAGGCAATCCAGAGATACTTGGTGAAAGTATTGTGTTTGCATCTGAAGGGGGTGAGTAGACTAGCATTGAGTGGCTGGTATGAGACAGGTAACTTGAGGTATCCCTACTGGTTCCTATAATATCGCATATCGCACTCGGTGCCGACTTTGCCCGTATCGTTGGAGAACACTCTCTTATCTTGTCCATCTGCCTAAAGACCGAACTTTCACGCCAAACTGCGATGAAAGTTTTCCCAACCAAGGAACAATTACCACTCCGGTATTCGGAGAGCGGTAACGGCGTTTTCGGTAGAAGATGGTGGGCAGAGAAGAACGGCGATATAGTGAAATTTCCGCAGGTTTTGTGGAAGCACGTAAACACAGCTGACGGATACTGGAAGATCTAACATACTTTCTTGTATGAATCCCTGTATCCCTACAAGAAAAATGCTCTGGTCATATCAAGATTTCCAGGGTCGGTTATGTGTGGCATAGGGACACGCCAAACTGATTACGCGCACGCAACTTGAAGGAAGCACGGTGGCTGAGATGCTGCTAGGTCTAAACAGATAGCTGATCGTAGACGTACGTGACTTGCCCCGTGCGTTATCCTTTTTGCACTAATTTTTCATTCTTCCCATCTTTTGTGCTCCATACTAGGATATCCTTCCCTTACTGCCAAGACAGTTAGGAAATGGTACTTATACCTTGGGTATTGTTGTCCATGACGGCCAGAGGTAATGAAGCCTTGGAAAATAGGGGCATACTAGGAGTAAAGTATCAAATAATCGCAGTAGTGTTGTGTCGTTAAGCGGTGGTACCTATCCCAGGTGCGCCTGTAAGTCACTAGATTGACAAAGATCCAGCCAGGTAAACTCGGTTCATTAATAGGATTCAGTATCGCTCAGGAAAATATGGGCAATGAGGTTGTCTTACCTGGGACGGCAAGGGTGGCGGTGTTGGTTGATTTGGCTGTTGTGCGGTACCGAAAGCAGTAGCATACAATCCAGTGGCTGGATTCATCAAACTGTGCACATTCGGTCTACCCTGGGAACCAGTAAACTGTTGAAGCTGCTGAAGACGTTGGTGGTGGGAGGGTGATAAAGAAGGGTAAAATGCAGAGTGTACCGGAAACTGAGGTTGGCTTTGGGCAGATGGTGAGTGGGAAATATTGTGTGATGGGAAAATACTCTGCACAACTCCTCGTTGGCGAGTAGAAACGTTCGATAAGTCGGTCGCGTTGGGTCGTCCCCCACCGATTACACCAACGTAATTATGGTGAGCGACAAAGCTGGAGTTCGGTGAAGTGGAGATCGGCAGTTGAACTGGACCATGAGTCGCATTATATCCACCTGGCGGTACTGGGTGCGGTAGCAGACCACCACCGCTAGCATTTCCCCCACCAGAAGGTGCAAATGTACTGCCGTAATCTTGGGCCGAGGCTTGCAGGCCGGATGCACCAGTTGGGTTAGCTAAGATGGACCATGGATTACTGGCAGCTGGGGGCCCCATGTTATGCCTAGCGGTGTTGTGAGGGTGGTAGCTCGGCTGAGGTTGAGCTTGAACAGCAGAGAAAATACCTCCTGCTGCAGCAGGTTGGACGCATCCCGTCGCCGAAGGTAAGTACGCGTATTCATTCTGGTGGGTCCCACAAAAACGGGAATAAGAGGTAAATCTCTAACAGTAGGAAACAAAAACCTACTTACGCTAACGATACGATAAAACAGAGGAAATGGTGTCTATGCTGGTCACGATCAATTTAACATACCGATGCGTTTCCCGGCTAACAAACACACGCCATGCTGTCGCTGATGATGATGAACAAACGAATATACAATCCGGTCAAGCATTCGCGGATTGGCGAGGGTCAGCTGTGCCCATTGTTCGAGTTTTTAATGACTATACCTTACGGTCATCATTACCTAGAAGGCGCTTTATCGTTTAGAGCCAACAACCATCGAAGACGGTTGATGCACTTCAAGATGGCCCGAAGTCTACCGCAATTATCTGTAAAGCTGTTAAGATATTTGCGTTACACCCGTTATAAGACCATCACAAGAATTTCATGTTAACGTAATGTTAAGAAACGCTTCTTCAGTTTTTCTGCACATAATTACGGATTTCAACGATGATAAATGTTGCAACTATCCTTCTTGTACGAATAAAAAATAACTTGCATGGATACGGGATGATATAAGACAACTGCTAATAACCTGAGTCAGCAAGTTCTGATAAGAGGGCTCGTCGGTCACTTAACAAAATTCCGTGATTACCCTTGTTGAGTAGAGCTGTGAAATCCCCAAGGAGAAGCGGGAGACTATACGGGGAGCTATCTGGAATTCTTCGCACACAAACTGCTGCCCAACAAGACTGTCTACTCTCTTCATTCTTAATTTAGTGACCAATGAGATAACGAGACTAACGCTGGGTGGTCTTCAAAACTACGGTGTTCAAACAGTCACTGACGAGAACTCTCTCATCTGGAATATGCAAACGAAACCATTCTCGTCTTCCAAGAGCTAGAGGAGGCACATGTGTTTTTGGATTTGTCGGGTTACAGCATAGGTTGTTCGCTGAGAGACGTGGCCTTTGCGGGCAGCCGAAATGAGACGTTTTCATGTCTTCGGCAGCCGTTGTCTCAGGACCATAGCTTGTGTAACCCGGTGGCAGCTAGTCCTCAAAAAATGAAAATGAGTGTTCAATCGCGTAACCGGGACTCCGATAGAATGTGCTCAACGCCAAGAGCTGCGCTGGTTATTTATTACGCACGCCGAATCACTGCTTGTCAAAAAGGGCGCTGTTCTCAGCACCCAATTCAGAATGGCGCATGCAGACATGGCATTTGGGAATGAAAGAGTTCACGAAACGTTTGTGGGTGCAACTCGCCTTCCAGGATGGGGCCACATAATGCCCACTAGGTCCAGCTGGAGACACTGCAAGGTTCTTGTTATCAGGTTCTATCAAGAGTGCCTGTGTGAATGTCTGGAGATGTTGACACCTCGAAATGATTGTGATAGGCTAGCACGAATTCCCTTTCCGTCCATTTTTAATATTTTTCTTTACCACACACTGGCAGCATCAAAGTTGAACACCGTTGTGCTTCCGATAGCGATAACGATATGCATCAAAGGTTTTACCTCTTGTTATGAGAGCCTCTTCTACCTGACACAGATATCATATAGATGCGCAAGTAGCTCAGGAACAGATTGCTTCACAAAATGGCAATCGTGACGCAGAATCATGATTTGCGCTTAGTAACGCGAGCGTGCATTCATACTGTCCGATCTGTTGCGTCAAGGGCTGCATTATATAAAGCATGAAAACTTTGCGTGACATCGATAGTAAAATAGTCGTTCACCTGTAGCACCCTTTCGGTGATTAGCTGTCGTGCCACCCAAAGGAAGCACGAGGGTTGGGATAATGCCAAGTCGCCCGGGACTAGACAGAAGTAGAGATGCAGAGACCAAGTAAGAACCACGGACCTTGCGGTCAGAAAATTTGCGCTCTAACCACTGACCCATTTCCCCCTGACATCGATAGTATCACTCACCATGAAGAAAAAAGACAGCAACTCTCAAGCATAACCTAATGGAAACCGGTACGAAACCAGTCTAGAAGATACGAATCCCGAATCGGCAAACGAAAAGATGCCAAGTGAAAAGCTGGGTATCCGCGGCTTAACCACAATAATTAGATCTTCCCTAACACCCTTCAGTTGGAATGTGACCACGACGAAGTTCGGAAGATCTACCGACGCCCAAAACAAGACAAGACGGAAGGATTCAGTTGTGCCAATAGATGAGTCCTAAAATTGCGTTGCGGTAAGGGGCCGCAATAAGAACGATGCCAAGGTCAAGCAAAGGCAGCGCGTTTATGTCAACTATATCCACGCATAGGTGTAAAATAAGGGCAATTCATATAAGGCTTTCCCAAACACGGTTTAATGCTAAATGAACTTCGTTGATTTGCTTCAGCCAAGCGGAAAATCGGTGACACCAATGTATGCACCATTACTGATGGAAGTTTACGCTTCTCAAATACAGATCAGAATGAGTGGTTTGAGCACAACGTCATAGCTCCGCGTAAACTAATTATGATTTGCCCACTATTGACAGACGTATAAGAGTTCAACCAGCATTAGCCAGCAAATCCTTTTGGGATGTCAGCAGCTAAACAGGGGAGAACTTCACACGAAGTACCTCCCTAAGTACATTTGTGCAAACAAGCGGTAAGTACGGAACACAGAAGAATGAACGGGTATTGCTACACATCAGCTGCATACCTGCAATTCCGTCTGGTAGGTAAAACCACCAAATGCAGAGGGCTCAACTTGCGGGAACCGTTGGCGGTACCGCTGCTGGCTTGAAGGCAAGGTCCAATTGGTGGGAAAAGAATGAGCTGACTGAGCCTGATGACCGGCGGACTGTTGTTGCTGAGGCGGGACGAAAACGGATCCTGCTGCGCTGGCAAAAGCCGCAGCTTGTGACTGAGGGACCGAATGTGATGAAGAGAGTTTGTTCGCTTCGCCACTATATAATCCACCGTAGTTATGTAGTTCACTAGAGGAAACGACTGAAGGTCCGTAGGGCTGTACAGAGTAAGAGTGGCTACGAGGAACCAGTGCAATCGATTGCTGGGACTTGTTAGAGGGGTCAACGCAGAGGGACGGTGCATTGGGTCCTGTGAGTAGGTTGGATAGAACATCCGAACCATGGACCTGGGAGAAGGCTTGATTGACAGCTGAACCTCCGACACCCGCCAAACGATTGCCGTAACTGTCCAGAGCCTGATCGCTAGTCGGCCATATATTAGCAGAAAAAGAGCTGTCCATGCTACTTGCTAGTGGAAGAGCACCTGGTCTGTTGGGGTAATAGTTGGCTTGCAGTTGAGATGTAACATTATCTGTCCAGGAGCTGGAAATAGGACGATTGGGAGGATGAGGAACCACGAGAAAAGCACCTTCGGTGGGCAAACGACGAACAGCGTGGGGCTGATTAGCGCTTTCCTCATAATCACATTCGGTCCTCTCGGGATCAGTCGAGGTTTCAGAAGCGCAATTTGGGCCAGCTGGGAGATGTTCATTCGTAGTACTGTTTGGACTGACTGGTGCAACTGTGGGTAACGGTGGGTTGGCAGTTAGCATTCCAGAATTACCTGGACTGCTCTGTACCACAGGTTGCTGTTGCTGCGGCCGGACTTTACAGATGTTATTGGAAACGGTGGACACACTCACAGAAACAGTCGAACCAGTAAGTGTACTACTAACTATACCAGTGGACGAGACTGCTACAGGAGTACATGTGTTGCTTGGATGTACTGCCACAACCGCCTTGGCGGTAGACTTCTCATCATTCTGCTCCTTCGTTGGTGACCAAAACTGGCGTGCCGAGGTGTAAGTTTCAGCATCCACCGTTTCTGTTGTCTCCACCATAACAAGCTGTAGATCTTTACTTTGCGGAAGAAGAGCGTTTATTGAGTCGCCGTCTTCTGGTTGGGCTGACGTAGAATCTGTATGTTTCAGGTCAGTTGACCAATCGGCATCGACCGCGCGCTCAAAACTTGAGACGCTGGAAATTGTCCGACTTTCACTTTTCACAACTGCAGACGATGCAGAAGAGGACTTAGTTCCCACCACTTTAGACCAAGGACGGGCTGTGGACATCTTGGCTTGAGTACAGTCGGATGTTCCAGTGGTGAACTGAGTTGGAGCGGCCGTGACCCAGGCCTTGGTAGTATGGGAAACAGTAGTGTTCTCGTTGGTATTTGTCGCTTTGCTCCTGCTGACAGCGGTTTCACCGGTCGAATTCATGCTTACTGAACTTAACGGTGGACCCATAAATGTTGGCTTCACCAAGAGCGGTTTAGTCTTCTGGAGAGGTTTATTTTGTCCGCTAGCAGAGTACCGGAGTCTAGTAGTTGTCTGGCTCAAAGAATGTTCTCGCCCCTTGTCATTCGGTTGAACTGTTTGGGAGGGCTTTGAAGAGTCATTATCCCGCCGAATCGATGGCTTAGCACTAGCGGAAAACTCTTGTTTCAATCGGCGACGTGCCAACTTTTTACTGGCCTTTGATATTACTTTAGTGAATCCGTCCGAGAGAATACTATCTTGGTCGGAGTCGTATTCGTTTGGGTCTGGGGATGTTTGGGCCTTATTCGGACCACAATGAAAACCACCCTCGACTTTTTCTGTGGTAGTTTTTATAGATGGGTCTTCGGAGAGCTGGGGTTTGGGGTTCATGTTTACTTTCGACTCAGGTGTTTGTGAAGTATGTGTGAAAGGGCCATGCGGTTTGAGTGACATTAACGGTGGTATGGAAGGAACACTGGTGCGTCTGTTTGAATAGTCTGCTTGGTGGTATCGACTCGTGCTGGATTTTTGGAACCTTTGTCCAGCGCTTGACCTTCCACCAGAAACTGAAATGTACGTCCTCCCAGAACGGGAACCTGCTTGATAACCCCGACCACGGGAGCCATGTGTATCAGTACCGCCGGTGGTGCCTAAAATACGATTAACATAGAATACAATGAACAATACGTAGGCACACATCTGAGTCCAATGCAATCCTAGGCATTGTTTGTTTAAAGAAAGACCTAGATGTGTACTTACTCACCAACGAGTTAGCTCCCTCTTTACACACAGCAAAAAAAAGCTTTGACTTACATGAAGGAGCTAGTCCAAGTACACTTAGACCACAAGGAAAGTACTCTTTCCCTCAGAGCCCACAACAGCACTCACCGTTAGACACAGTTTTGTATGAATAGTCTCGGAGACGTCAAATCCTCCTCCACTCAGATAAAGAGTTAACGTAGTATCTATCAAACCGGCTAAATAAACATAAAAATTGGTTCCACTGCGATAGTAAGAAAAAAGACAAAACTTGGAAGCCACTAATAGACTAAGAACGGGTGTATCAGACCATAAATTCACAACAACAAATTTGTTTGTAAAACAAGCCGCTGTGCTAAATCGCACAAAATTCCAATGAAATCAACGGAAAGAGCTCAGCAGCTTCTTATAAACAGGGGAAACTCGATTCTTAGATGCTTTCGCGCTACAGCGTAACATCCCATAACCACAGGCACTGTGTGCAGTGGTGTTTGGGCTGGCATCCTCTTTCCAACCCCATCAAGCCCGGAAGAGGTACACACAGTTGTTAACCCTGGTAGTGATTGATATGACATTCAGTGAGGAAGCCCCATTTCACACGCCCCTTGTGGGAGAGGTACTACCAAAGTAGATGGTGGAATCGGATGTTAAGGATTGTAACCGGGTTGACGTCACTGGCTGTCCGAATTCTAATTTCTACTGCTCACAAGGTGTGAACGGCAAAAATGAATGTCAGATGCTCACGGGCAGTCCTGGGAAACAAGAGGACTGCCGAAACATCTAGCGTATGGACTCAGGTCACAAATACTGCCCTCCCACCCTCATCAAAAAAGAAGCGGTGGCTCATCAATTAGAGATCAGAGCTAAGCTACCAATAGAGATCTATAAACTACTGATCACAGTGGAGCACTAGTATGAACTATGACCACAGCCTCGCCTGCTCCGAGATGTCCATGTGTTGTTCAAGCCTCTATCCGGAAGACTGGAGATACTACGGAGATCTGTACCAGCATAATTCTCCTCAGCTTCCCACACACATGATGAACTCGATAAACTCCATGTATTCAATAATGCACTAAGCGTTTGTTCTTATTTGGTTCGAAGACGGACAAACTCTGGTAAACTGAGACCGCATGAGATGGCTTGATAATTAAGAACCGAGCTACCGACGGCAAGTCAAATCATATCCTTTCGCACGTGTAGACATCAGCAATATCTATACCCTCTAGATTCCTTGGGATGCCGGCAACGCACCAAAAGGAATCTATTGGGTTTGCTGTTTGATCGAACTTACAGTACACTGAGTATAAGAAAATGTTTGTTGATGGTTACCGATAGTCTGTTGGGGTGAAGACGATTATGGACGGTTGGTGACAAGCAGTCGTATACGTAGCCAATTGTCGGTAACATTGACTACGATACCAATAAAAAGGCAAATTAAAGGAGAGAACAGATCAAGCAAATGAAGTGAACGGCGATTCGTTGAAAAATCCAGGTAACTGGTGGCAGGCTGTGAGAAAGGTGTTGTAGCGGGTGGGGTGGAAACGCGCAATTCTAGGAAGCACTCACTAACCACTGAATACGAAATATCTGACGAAACACCAACACACTGGGTCAACGCATGCATAAGTTGAAATTAAGGAAGTTCCATGCGGTACGACGTTCGCAGGAGTGCTCAGCTGACCGAGAGTGCGAATATCCCGAGGAGACAAAATAAGATGAGGTTGTACCAACTGAAACAGCTGGTGGCATGCACACCTACCTCCACTGCCATCACCGTTACCACGACGGTCGTGAGGATATCTGTCTGGTCCAGGCAGTTGACAGCCAGATAATTCGCCGGTGGTCTGACTGGCTGGATGTGTAATGCTGGGTATTGATGTGACTTCGTCATTGTCACCTGAGACAACCGGGATGCTGGCATCTGGAGGAACGGCATGCATGCCATCACCTACAACAGTGGCTTCGTTCGACGAATTAGTGGACAGACCAAATACAGGCTGGGAAGCGTCAGGTTCAACGCTGACCAGTGGGTGGCTTTCAACGACCGCCGAAAGTTCGCTAATATTGTAAGTCACAGAGGCCACAGTCGGATTTGGAGTAGGTAGGGTGCTTGATGCACTCTCCGGATCAGTCGAGCCTTCTGTGGCGGTTTCCCATTCGTCAATGTCGTTAACGTCACTTAAAAGTCCTCGAGAGACTAGAAATATGAATACAGAAAAAGTAACACATTGGATACTCCCGTTTGTGCTGGAAGACCAACCAAGTGCCCTCAAAGTTATTGGAACACATCAAACCTATACAGGGGATGTCGAGAGGCAGAGGTCAGGTTCGAATCACGGACCTTCCGGTCAGTAAATTCGCGCTCTAACCACTTGGGCCATCTCCTCCCAAATTTAAGGAATACAGGCCTCCATGTGAAACTGGTCACTGGGGCAAGTATTTCTGAAACCGACTCATTTTATCTCAGGAGCAAAAGGAAGGAAAGTAAATTAACAATGGGAACAGCGTTCGTGGCAAACATAGCAAGCGGAAGGTATTGGAGGTGCCAGACTGCATGGATGGAGCCTGAAGCTACCTGCTGAGACGAAGTTGATCGATACACTGGTGAACTCGAAAAGATCTTACTCTACCCTAAACTTTAACCTCAAAATGTACACACGTGATGAGCCTCTAACGGAAACATTAGAGCTAGGAATTTTTAGTCGAATGAGTAGTGTCCAGCTACCACCGTTTCATACTAAATAACGAATTCTTGGACACACGAATCCGGCAGGTCAGAGCTACAGGCACGTTTGAGGCGTAACAAATTCCCACCACTGTGTAAGGACAGGTGACATCTCAGCGCCCAAAACGATGTCAAATATAACTAGTGTGGCTGCTTAGCACATCCCTTTTGGAGATTAGGAAATAGGACGTTTGAAAAACCCACCAAATTCAGGGTGACGATTCTGAACAATACGTGCGTCGCCTGATCTCTCTACGTAGTTGTGGTTTGTATGATCTGTCGAGCTGAAATTGACGGACTGAGATTCCGACTCGCCTACTGTCTTCTCTGTTTCCTCGAGATTCTGACCAAGAAGAGAACCATCGGACGCACCAGCCTCGCGGTTGCCACCAGAATTTTGATTACCGCCCACGTTTTCGCAACCATTCCGACGTGAGCCATCACTCTGCCCGCTGCCCCCGGTGGAGTCACCACCCATGGTTGATCGACCTGTTCCTCCAGCAGCTGCACCTCCATCCCCATCTTTACCATCATGGTACCGATCACGTTGATCACGGTAACGGCGAGATCCAGAAACATTGGAACCAGGGGCACGCTTGTTTTGTTGAAGTGTGGTCACACGGTTAGGATTCCTCCGAGATCCACTTCCACGTGGGAAGGTTCCTGAGCGACCAACTCGAGGGTATGTATACTGTGGGCGCGGGTTGAATCCCATATCTGCTGCTGGAACTCGAACTGTCGGTATGTCATTGTCCCCGTAATCCGTCAGAATGGGCATATCTAGAGATGTCATTTCCGGCCTCTGGAAAACAAAAGCATTAAGCGGATTTAACACTGTTCTCTAGGCAGTTGACGCGGTGAGCACTGCCAACTGGTACTTGAAGAATTACACAATGTCGGGGTGTCACAGGGTGGGGCCAGAAACACCGTTTCGTTCTGTTGACATATGCATATTGACCATGTTCAAGATAGTTGGGTAATTTTGGTGGCTGAGTGTAAGTGACTGTAAGGCGAACAATGAATACAGTCACTGAACTGTGCTGTCTGAACCTCTAGGATCTGTGGTGTTTGTTGCGGAACACTGGTTTCTCAGTTGTTGCGCGGACCCAGCTTAAAAAATAGTCCGATGATTTGTAGAGGGTGATTTTAGTTAGCAAGTACATCAATTCCTGACTTGGAGGTGAATACAAGCTACTAATGCATTGGCGTAACCTCGAAAAAGGATGTCACCGCATGAGGATTGTATTCCAAGTCCTGATTGACAAGTGCTTCGGGAATTTGGGCCTTCGTAACATTTTCCTCAGCGAAAAACTAACCGGGATTACTTCAACATTAAATTCGTCAAATCTACAGGCCCGTGTCACAATTTAGGTGCACTCACATCCTCCACAGTTGCATTATCTTCCGATTCGTGCTTTTGTCGTTCACGTTCCGTGGCGAATCTCTGCGCGGAACTCTTGAAAGTATGTCTTGGTCCCTCGTGACTTCGATTACGAAGAATTCGTGCGTGTTTCCGACCCCCACCACCTTGTTCCCCATCACTAAAGTGATCATCGCGCCGAACATCATTTGTGAAGTGGGAAGTTCCCGTTGAGGGGCGGGACTTGTAGGACTGGTGACGACGAGCATCCTGAGCAGCCGCGTTGGATCGAGAGCAGGGATCAAACGAGTTAACCTGCTCACAGCCCTCAGAATCATAATAAACTGAGCCACGTGCAGTTCGCATTGATGGATAGCCACTTCCGTAAGAATACGTACCTCGGAAATCTTAAAGTTAGAAGAAAATCAGTAATCAGAAATAGAGCAAGTAAATATCGAGATTAGCCGATAAAACACGAATTTACCGATCGTGGATAACTTCTCACCTCGGTCCGGTCCTCGATTACGCGGTTCTTCTAATGCCCGCCTTCCACGAGAATCCGATGCTGTGGCGGAGTTGACGAGAGCACGATGTCCTCTGGTGAAAGTTATGCCACGCGATGCACGAGAATAGGGTTTGGGTTCCATATGGTGACCAGAGTACACCACCGCATCTTCGTTGCTGAATGTCCTACAAAATCAAATGAAAATTCATTTAAAATTCGTTCTAAAAGAAAGAGCACGCAGCCCTTTTTCCTGCAGTACCTGTCACTGTTCCGGGTTCCATGTGCTATCGATCAGCTACGTCAGTGTCCGACGGTATGAGACGGCGTGCAACCGGTCACGACTGTGTTTGTACAACAATCTTTCGTACTGTCCGAAATGTTTTTTGAACAGATCCAGAGGAGCCAGGTGGGAGCTCTTGATTCTGATTCAATACTGCAGCCACTAGCGGTGCGCATTCTAGTCAGCTGACAGCCCCCGCACTGTTATCAGGTCGACAAAACGTCCGAATATCTTGGGTAGTACACCTTCAAGCAGCTGACAATAATAAACATCATTACAGTCTTGTGGATGCGTAAATCCACCCGGAAGGTACAAAGCGAGGTGATGAGCGGAATACGACAGTCTTCTTACTTGTCATTACCGGGGTGATGCCAGTACACAAGGCTCCGGAGATTTTCTTCGCTCCTATACAGAAACAACTCCTAAAAGGTTCTAGGGGGAACCTCCGGCTGTAGAGTACGGCTCACGGGTCTGTCAACACGACACCAGTTTGTTTGTCACTGGATGAATAACCAATATTGTGATGTACTGCACGACGTAGCAAGGGTCATAAAATTAAACAGTGTAGGCAAACTACTTTGAAACATGTTCGTTTAACCACAGCAAATGTACTTAGGAACAAAAGCTGTCTGTGGAAATAACGAAGGTACGACAAATGAGTTGGCGATACCGGTGGGGGGAATTATTATCATCATGAAAGGCAGACCAAGGGCCAGGCAAAACGACGGGTATATACACTGTTTGACAAGCCCAATGGCCGTCATACCCATCATTCTATCAGCAGTGACCAATATCCCTATAACCGCCTACAGCCAAAGTGTAATGCATTTAAAAATTCCCGCAGTGCTGCCTATTGACAAAAATCAGTGATGTTCTTGGTGGCCCTCAACATCAGTGTTGAGATAGCATATAAAGGACAAGTCACTCAGAAACAAAATTGGACCACCTATTGATTTACCGAGAACTTGGGTAGTAAGAACTGGAAGCGCCGCGTCCCCGTCGTCCTCGTTCAGCACGACGAGGATGGTCCTGACGATCAGCAAAAGTACCCGTATCGGCAGGTTCCAGAGATCCGCGGCGCTGTTTTGAATTTGGTGCGTTCGATTCAGTGTGGGTCGCGTTATCAGAATGCCGTGTGGCGGTGCCTTTTCCGCGTGCATCGTGAGTCTCAACAAGTTCTGTTGGCTCCTCCATCTCGTCGCTTTCATCATCCACTTCTGCGTCTTGTGGAAAATCCATTTGGGAAGGAACATTGCGGCCTAGCTCAGCATCCACTAGTAGATTGCTACCAGGCTCCGCATCGAGACAAACACCAGTCGGATTGTGCTCAGATTTCGTACCAGAACTGAGACCCTGTGAGGAATGTAGCTTCGAGGGCTGCCAGTTGCGTTGACGCGAACCATGATGCCGATCTGGGTAAGCACCGTAGTGGAGTCCATGGGATCTACCTTCATGGTCTTCAACTGGTCCTGATGACCCTACAAACGAGTAACCAGGGTAAGTGGAAAACACATTATTACACGCATCTACTTGCTTACTTTTCACCAAGTCTAATAAAAAATTCCCACTGAAGCATCGCTAAAATGACTCCATCAAACGAGGCATAAAGTACAGCAGGTAAGTAGTCCATTTACACTGAAAAAGTGTATACGAGGTAATTCCTTCGCCCTGATGAAAAGGAAGGCTCTCACGGGCAAATTTCATGGAACAGCAGGTGATCAGCACGCCTCGCTAACATAGACGAAGAATGAAGGTTATTGAATTGGCAAGCGAATAGAACAACAGTTGGAACATGCTCAAGAGGCGTAGAGCCACTCAGCACGAACAGTAAGATGTTCGGTAATGTAGGTTGGATTACTGTCAAAATTCATGGACGGTGTCGCCACTAACCAACGAACAAATGGAAGACGTATAAAGACGTTCCGCAGTCAATGATCAAGTCGACCTGAGACATCCATATGCAACCTACCCATTGCCTAAATATGCAATTACACTGAACCATCAGGGGCAAACAAATTTGGCTTTGCGAGAGACTCACCTGGAACCCAGCTGAATCTCTCGTTTATGACGTTTAAAGTAACTGAATGTGCTGCACCATGCCGCCCTACATTTCAGTTGGTACAATATTCGGGATATCGCGATACATGTATAGATGTAATAGACGGCTCATAAAGTTGAAAATTCCCCGGCAACCTACGACCGGGTTCGCTTTTCTTGTGGTTCATCAGGTAAGCACAGTCCCCGAGTTTCCGTCAAAGCGCGGAAGTTAAAGGCTGTTGGATGAACTGAGCGTCATAGTTTGAGGTCTGTCTGTGGCAAACGGATCTGTTGGTCCTTAGGAATGGATTTACTAAGATATTGCTATGACTAATCTAGGAAACAGGAAGGGAGACATCAGTCGCAGTGGGAGTCACGTGGTCCCCATCCTGGTGGGAGTCTGTCAGCCCTACCACCCAAATCATCAAACCGCGGATGATCCAACCTCATCGTGACGGTTACCTTTCTGGTTTTAAACTGCCAGGATGACTCTCTTTCGTTTACTGAGACATTTGTAGCTAGTGACTCACTATCCCCTGCAGATATATGTAGACCGTGCGCCTACTCTTCGTTGGCCTATTTCACAAGCACTTCGAACACAGAAATATGTACAACTTTCACACTTGACGACGTGAGACGCTGCACCTTACACTGCTTGGAACCTATTAACGGTAAGGTGCAGTTAGACGGCACGTTGGGAGAGCGTACAACAACTTGGGTTAAAAAGCTAGGCTAAAGCGTATGGTGGATGGACTCCTTCATGACCTTTAACTTCCTTCTGGCGTAACGAGGTTGCCGGTATCTAGAGGAATGGTCGAATGAGGTAAAAGACCAGATATATGTTTGGGGACCTGTGTAATTGAGCAATCGAATTCTTGTGCGCAGTCCGCAGACGAACTGTCGACGTACGTTTGGCGAAGAGAGCATAGTATGCTGAGAATAAGCTGGCAGTTCGATGGGTTGCGGAGGCCACGGTTCGCCACCGTATCAGAAAGCAATCAACATCCTGTCATAATATGGAGGATCTGTTGGGGATATCAGTGTCTTCAAAAACGGCTTATTTTTCGAGTTATTGCCAATTTTTCAAAAAATTTGAATTTTTAAATTTCGCGCCTTTTTCGCCATGTTGCACCTCAATCCAAAAAGACCGCGCTGTTTTCCTACTGGCCAGTTATACTTTGTGTGCATTAACTGATTTGTCGCTCCCCAATGTCGCTCGAAATATATATATATATAAGATC